TCGTTGCAATATTGCAGCAAAACAATGTCGTGATTATATGATTCTCCCCTTCTTCATCCTTGCCAACGATAGATTATACACTCCTCGAGAATTTTCGCGCGAATCCCGAAAAATGGACGACACTTTTGCAGACATACAAAAATCCGTAGTGTATAAGTCTGTTTTAACAGCTCCCAGTAAGTGCTTGTCGTTAAAGTCAGCCCGACAAATCTGAGATTGCACTGTCACTACCTACCGTAATTCGGGATGCGATATAAATGGCACAATTTTCTTCGTGTTCAACATAATTTACAGCGGCTCGGTGTAAGAGACGAGTAAGGCTCTGCCGTAAGTCTGCGCGTCTTCCCGTCTCGTCAAATTTAAAAGCAATATTTTCGCGTGCTTACTTCCGGTACCGGGCTCAAGGACGGGGGTCGTCCCTCGCGCGGGACAACCCCTTCCTCTTGTCAGCCGTAGTAATAGCTTTTGCTGTTGAGGCTCCTGGGATTCTCCGCGCGTAGGATCGTGTGAAGATTATCCGTGCCAACCATGTGATTTCCAAGATCGACCCGCATCCCCGTGTTGGTCGCATGAGGCACCGACGCGACGTGGATGCTCGTTGGCGACAGAGGTATCCTTGTATCGGCATAGTAACGTTCGCCGTGAAGCCTCTCGGCCAATTGAGTTTCGGACAATCTACAAGAGATAACGCATCAAGAGTTAAGAGAGAGACAAAATTGTGGTAAAATATTCGAGGCTTTATTCACATTATCAAGGATAAAATTAAAAAAAAAAAACGCCATACAAATTATTTATTCGAGATTAAAATATTCGAGATTGAAAATTCTCAAAACAGATTTTCGATTTCAATTTTCAACTAGACATTTTTCATTACACCGCGTTTATTTTAGCGTGTCTTATAAAACTTATCCCCATTTAAGATGACAAAGATTATTGAAGATCTAAATACGCTTAAGAGAATTACTCAGATCTTATTAATTCACTTAATAATCAAAAAATTCATTTTTTGTTTAAAAAAAAAAAAATTACCTTGCGTCTTGCATTGGTACTGCAACTGGTGTGGTAAGATCGATATCCGCATCAATTTCGGAAATATCGTCGGTGAATCCATTTGGAAGAGTCTCGTTATTCGCATGGAACTTTGCATCCCTCTTGGCGCGATGCCGGCTGACTAACAGGCGGCCAATAACCAGTCCCAGAAAGAGCAAGATACCAGCGCTGACCGATACGATAATGTAGAGGTAAAACTTCTCTTGGTTGTCTGCAGGCATCATGTTAAACGTACACCTTAAATTTTCTTTCTGGTTTTTATTCCCCGTAAAATATCGAAAAGCAGATTCAAACATCATAGTCATAATGGAAAAAAACAAAATATAAATATCAATAGAAGCTTTTATTCGTGTTTGTTTTTATCCAATTTGTAGATCTACATGGTGTTTATGTATACAGATAAGCGTGACGCGACATTCAAAGAAAGCTCGAAATTGTGAATTAAAAGTAAAATTCGACTAACATGCTACACCACCTATTGTTACTAGAAACAATGCCAAACACACAATGCATATATTTGCCAAACAGGAATCAATAATTATCATTTCAACATGACTCTTTATATGTTTTCAAAAATTGAAAGACTAAAATACAAATCGATCAATTTCAACTTTAGTTCAAGTTTGAGTACAATAAGCATAGAGAAAAATAGTTTTATACTATTTGTGATAATTTAAAATTAAAAGATATACATCTCCATACTTTTGACATTTAAAATTGAACTAATTTCGATATCAATCCGTGCATAATCAAAAATGATTTCTTCTTTTTTCACGCAGGATGCTCAGACAGTTAAAATATCATTCGCCAACCTCGCTCGTGGAACGAACTACCCTGTCGTATCCAACCCTGGCATAAATCGAGGTTGATTTGCAACAGCATACTTTACCAGCTGAAAATACAACGACCAACCGATGGTGTACTCACTCGTGATGAAGGAATATGCATTGATCCACTCATTGAGGTATCCCACCACTAGGCGATCCTCCTCTTCCGGAAACGCGTAGACGACGGTAGTGCAGTTTCCGGATGCGCCGACGGCGCCCGGCGTAGTTGCGGCATTACCAACCCCGTTGTCGCTCGCCATTGCAACCCCCTGGATAACCGTGGGCGGTAAAGGCGATAAGGGTAAATGTTTCGCCCCGATACCGAGCGATTTTAACATGTTCAACCGCGCGTCCACTGTGCACGCGAGAAAACAAAACGTATTCAAACGGCACACATGAGGGGAGGAAGGGAACGAGAGTTTGCGATTGCATGAGACTTTGAGAAAGCAGACATTGGAAACATTATAATCTGGCCGAATTCATTTTTCGATACTACATATACATATGAGAGAAAGAATCTCCAAACTTGGCGTTTCCATTCTGTCTCTTGAAAAGCCAAGATATTTTTTTATATGCATATATTTTTTATAGTATCGAGATCTAGACTCGCAGAAATTATATTGAATTCAATGTCAGGATTCGAGAATAAAAGCGTCAAAGTGAAATCTGTATAAATTATGTAGCAAATTTACAGCGATGACAGATGTAGGAAAGTGTCTCGTAAAGAATAAAACATTACATATCATTAAATCAGTAATGACATCTCAAATAAGTATTGTGTTAGATATATCGCAAAATTTTACAGTTTAGAGACATTTAGAAGAATTTTATACGAAATAAATTGTATATATATATATATATATGATACGACGATGTATAATTTCTTGCATTTTAGAATACAAGATATATATTATATAGATATTTATTACAAGATATCTATCGATAAAAAAAAAAGATTAATCACTGTGTTATTCACAACGAAAAATACTATTAATCTTTCACCAAATGCAATATTATTTTTTGAAGCAAAATATACATGGCAAATAGCTGTCTATATCGAAAATGAAAAATAAATGTTGAAATGAACAAACATTACACGATATAACAGTACATTCTACAGTTATAAATACATAAATTTATAGCGTGAAAATGGCTCGCTTCCAATAGCTTTGAAGCGGAATTCAAATTGCAATTTTTATTCTGTAAATCTAATAATAGTAATCTAAATTTTAGCATCTTGCAGCTACATAAATTCGCTAATCTTATATTAGCAAATCATGCTCCTCTTTTTAAACAAGTTTAAAACATCATTAATTAAAGTTTTTCAAAGAATAATATTTACTTAACGCAGTTTTGTAACATTAAAAGTTAGATAGAATTAAAAAAATGTAACAGAGAGTTCTCTTACATGATGCTTTGTTCTAGTAAATGTACATTTTGCGCGATCCGATATGCATAATGCAAATATGTTTTTCCAGCAAACTTCCACGGCGAGAATGATTGATCACATCGTAACGTCCCCTAATAGTCTCTACCGAATAAATCATGGGAGCTGTGTCCGGCACAGGTCTCTCGTCACCCAGAGTACCATTGTTTTAGCGAGGATTGCGATTTAAGGAACAGGATTAGTCACTCAATCGTCATTAAAATTCATGATCTTTGTTACATTTATCGACCGGAGTCTAAAGCACGTAAAAAAAGCCCCGAGAAACTCGCGACAAGTCGTTCTCCTTGTGTCTCTTCATGGATCGCGGAACTTAAATGGCACATTCTATCTGCGGGTACGTTTCACGGTTTTCCGACTTACTTTTCGCGCGGGTTATTTTTCAGGAAAGAACTCTGCACAGTGTCTCCGAATGCCAATAGAAAATAGAAATGTAGGAGCGGAGTAAGATATACGAATGAAGTAGTCCGTGTCTTTGCGTTGTCGAGAATTGACAGAAGTATTCGATGCACAGATCGTACGTAGTTGATTACGTGTGATTTAATCCAACTACAATTCTTTCTGAATATTAAAATATTACAAGAGTATCTATGCAAAATTTTAGCAACACTCAAGTTTTAATATCTTTAAAATATTTATCAAAAAAAAGAAAAAAGTTATATAATCCCTTTGCTATAGAATTGCTAAATATTAACGTGAAAATTAGTCTATAAATAAATTCAAGAGATTAAGGAGTAATTTTTAATTCCACTTACTATACCTTGTTCTGTTCTCTAGAACCACGCACGATATGCTTCGTTATAAAACGACTAATGCAAGCAGACTTGAAGATGATGAATTACTCGGGTCTCGCGAAGCAGTTTTGCTGACGCGATAAAAATAAAGAAAGAATCAGCATATTGCAAATGCTGAGACACATACTTATTAAAGCCATTTGTATATTTCGTGTAAAAATTATTTAATTATCCTAAAATTTGAGCTAAAAAATCGAATAGAGTAAAGATTTTTTAATTTTGTATTCTCCATTGTATTATTTAGCATATTTTCGCAATCCACATCCACTAGTTGATCATATACTGTATATTAAATAGAACGAAATTAGAACGTTCATTGGAAAGTTTCCGTTTCATCGGGGGGCTTAGTAATGTCTTAGCTTCGAGTTATTTACATCATAATTCAAACAATATGGTCCTAGTTCTTCCAGGCCGCGTTGTTCCACCAAGACTGCTATCTCTCCCAAGCGAGATAACGTTCGCAGTTCCTAGTTTTCTAATTAGTGACTTGGGAATGCTTACAATTAGCCGCTGACGGAATTCGATGTCGCGAAATTTCGCTGCTATCCTGTGGCACGAGTTTTCTTTTCCCATTTACGGACAAATTATATCTGTTTATAAAATTTACATAACGGATTTAATTGTGAAATTGTTTTAATATGTTATTATAATAAATATATCCTCTCTCTCTTTTGAAGTAAAAAAGTTATTAGCATGGGCTAAGAAATAGAAAAAAAATACAATGAGTTTAGTATTGCGATGTATCAATCGTGTGACGTGCACGTATAACTAAATATTGGGTTGAATGAAAAGTTTGTCCCGTTTTTTGCTAACAGATAAAGACCGAAAAAACAGTATGAATTTTCCGTTCAATACATACATAAAAATTCAATATTTCGTCTTAAAAATGTGCAAACTATTGGAGATCATCTTTACAAGGATGCATTTAATTATAGTAACACAATATCTTCAATTACAGTTCGTAAGACTTTTATCAGTGCTCAGAAGAAGATAAAAAATGCAAAGATAAAGTTTAGTAGAATATGTACAGTTCACTTTACATTGGGCATGTTTGAAAATGTTGATTAGGAATTCGAATTAGGAATCGATATGGAAATTATATTTATTTTTCAAGTACTTTCTTATATCTTTCCATAAAAAATATTTCGCCAGCGATACACAAAGTATTGATTGATCCTATTACATTGCAAGTTTCCACTATGCGTCTTTTGATGAATTTACTCAGCCGACCAGATAATAGCTGCGTCTGACGTGAGTCTTCAAACATAGAGTTACGTAATTCTGTTTGCGTCTTGTAGCAAGTAATGTGGATATGAAATCAGTCGGTGTTGAATAATTATGCCGTCAAAGGAAACTAAATTACAAATTTAGAATTAATATTCATGGAAATATTGTAGCAAAAGAATCGCGATTCTGCGAGTAGATGCTCTTTGAACGTAGTGATAATGAGTTTAATAGAACAATTCGAATTTCCGTTACAATTTCAAACTTAAAAAAATGTTGTTTAATATCATAACAGCGAGTATCAATTTTTACTCGTTAATCGAATACAATATAAATACAATTATAATAACTATTATCGATTTTATGTATAATAAAATTAATATCAAAGTAATATATTTTTCTGAAGTTTAAAGCTCTATCGTAATATAGTGAAATAAAGATTAGATGAGTTTCATAAGATATGCGGGCTAAAAATATTAACGGCAAATGCAATTCGTACGCTTAAACGGGGTGTAAAAAATATTGCACGAGAGAAAGCGGTACGAGAATACATACGGTAGCGGACTAATTTTAAGCGTTGGTTGAATTATAGGAGTATCGGGGCGAAATCAGTGCCTCGCTCGAGATAGCAATCGATCGTCCATGAAAGTTTAATTTCAGTACCGTGCATTTCACATTTTATTCTTCATAAAGTATGCAACGCGCGTATAGCGGTATATACATACATATGCAGTCGGATGTTTCTCTCGGATGTTTTTAACGCGCGTAAGCATATTATAGCAAAAATAAAATCACTTTTTTTTTTTTTTATTAACTGGATAAATAAACTATTTTCAGTTTATCGCCAAAAATTATCTTTGTCGCAACAAGACGATCAAAAATTTATATTCACGATGGCGCATCACAATATTATTCGATATCGCAAACATATTGCGCTTGTTGTGACGTAAAACGTAATCTACATACATGGAAGAGCCGGTATTATCAACAGAAATTAATTTGTTTATTATAACAGCGCTGAAACAACGAGTATCAAATTATGTAGGTATATTAGAATGATCCTGCGAGCAAATCACGTTGAAAAACATATTTAAAAACAATACTCAATTATCTCCCCGCTATAAATAATCTCCCGAAATTGCAAAACGCAATTTCGTTTCGCGCGCAAAATTAGATATTCGCGCACTCGAGCAGTGAAACGCGTTAAACACGCATCCATTATTAAAAAAAAGAGGAAGCAAAAAAAAAAAGAAGTATTTTACCTAGAATTCCGAAACGGACGAACGAACGAGCGTGTTCGTACGCACTGGCGAACGAAACGTGACAAAGCCGAAAAGTTATCGTGGACGAAATAGGGAACGTGAATACCGTTACTTTTTTATTGCGTAAACATTTTTATTCCACGGCAAAATAATTTCAGTTGTGCCGTAAAAAGTGTTCTGCACTCCCGCCAACGCGAACTACGTCTCGGAGCTGCGGTGAAATTATTGCTCGCATCCGCGAGTCGCGAGTCGCGCGCGAACTACGTATACCGTGACTGAAAGAAGAATCACGCGCCCGGTCTGCACCGCCACCTGTTTCGCACACGTCGCGAAAAGAGCGAGCATTTTACGACACCTGTAATATATAGGCGTAATACGCTATGTGCAATTTTGGACCTGCCTTACGATACATATAGCACAGTAACGCTTCTCATATATTTCAGCATTTTACTTGAAGAAAATTTAAAAAAAATTATTACATGTAATCAACTTTAAATTTTCAAAGAATAATTACAGTAATGATACTGAAATTTTTATCTCGCTTGTATACATCCAAATAATAAAAAAATCGTTGCCAATTAAATTAACATACAACTCAGATAAGTTACTCCTAAATTAATGTTCCAATTAC